GTCCTGGGGAGTAAAATTGGTTACTCAGGACAAGGGGTAAAACAGGACCAGGGATGGGTAGGTTTAAATATATACTATACAAACAGTAGGAGCGTTAGAAATAAAATAGACTTGCTGAGAGCGGTTGTATGTACCGAGAACGTAGACGTCATAGCAATCACCGAAACATGGATGAATCTGGCCAGCAAGAACTTTTTATCAGAATACCACACAGAAGGGTACAACCTTTTTCACAAGGACAGGGAAGGTAGGAAGGGGGGAGGGGTCGCACTCTTCGTCAGGGATACGCTAAAATGCTGTATTAATAATTCAATAAAGGGTAAAATAGGAACCGAGTCTGTATGGGTAGAAATTGCGGAAGAGAAAAACTAATTATGGGAGTGATTTACAGGCCCCCCCAAGTCTTGGGAAAGAAGCAGCTCAGCCCATATGGCAAGAAATGAGTAGGGCAGCACAATACAACAACCTGAGCATTGTGGGGGATTTCAACTTCAGAAATATTGACTGGGACAACATTGTAGGTGACTATGAATCTGAAGACTTCCTAGACGCAGTACAGGACATTTTTTTAAACAACTTATTACTGAACCTACTAGAGGTGACAATATATTAGACCTAGTATTAACTAATGAAGAAAATATTATCAGAGATATCATAATAGGGGAAGAACTAGGAAACAGTGATCGCAGAAATCAGGTTAACCCTAAATTGGGAAACGAAAAACAATGACAATATGGTCAGAGTCCCAGACTTTCGATCGGCGGATTATGAGGGGTTAAGAAGGTACCTAGGTGAGGTCGCCTAGGAACAGTCAGGTCAGTCCCCGGTAGGAACGGGTGAGGTCACCGGCGTGGATGTAAGACCTCCTACCCTCACTGACGCAGCTATGGTCAATTTGGTGTTATTCTTGTTTATAAATGCCTTCTAATCTGTCTCAAGTCTATCCGTCCTGTCTATTGCCATCCCAACTGTCTGTTCGTCTGCGTGGTGTTTGAATGTAAGCCCGTCTGTACTCTTTGTGTCTTCAAATCTGTCTGTCTTAGGGTTGCCATACGTCCGTATTTTCCCGGGCATGTCCTCCATTTAGGTCTCGAAATCTTCATCCGGAAGCAATTTTTAAAATTCTTCAAAAGTTCGGAACTTCAGCTTCCACCATTTTCTCCACGGAAAAAAACATGATACTGTAATGACGAGAGAGAGAGAGAGAGGGGAGGTGGAAACCATAGAGATCTTCAGTTTTCGTTAGCTGATAAGTCACGTGTACGCCTGTACGGTGTTGTCAACTTAGCTGTCAAATATTTGATTGATAAGGGGGTAGAAGTTGATGATGTGCAGTGTTTTGACCAAGTTAGTAACCTGAAGCAGTTTGTGGAAAATTACAAGTGATGAAGAATTTAGTAATCTGCCATCACATAAAAAGTGGACCAGATACTTTGAAAAATCAAAGAACTTTGAATGCCACTCAGAATTGCTAAGAATTTCACAATTCTTCTTTGCTATATCATCTCACAATGCAAATGTAGAAAGAGTTTTTCACTGATGCAAAGTCAATGGACAAAGTAAAGGAACAAATTAAGTGTTGAAACAATGAAAGGCATTCTGACTGTACAGTACAACTTCCAAGAAGCATCTTGCAGTGACTTCTATACCTTTCTAAAGAGCAATCAGCCAATACTGAAATAGATCCGATCTACAGAAAAGTAAGCATGGGCACATCAAGTCACACACACAGTGGGGGAAGAAGACTGCAGCTAAAGAAGATATTCAGCCTTAAGCAAAGGTACTTTTTTTGTTTTAAGATTTCTATACCATGTATGTTGTATATTAGTCTACATTAAAAACACAATGCAATACAGTACACCGATACTGGTGTGTATATATATATATATATATATGCAAGTAAATCACTGTAGGTGCGCGTGATCTAGGTATATGCTGATAACCACAAGGAAAGAAGAAAACACGAAGTTCCCAAGCGCTTTCGTGTAATTCAGAGTAATTTCAAACGCCGTGCCTTGGGCGTTGCTGAGTTCAAGGTCGTCTGAGGGAAGACTGCGCTCCCCGCACGTAGCAAGAGGTTGTGGAACTAGGCCTATACGATACTAAATGTAATTTACCGAATTAATATGGAGGCGAATTATGAAACTAAATATCAATTATTAAATTAAAAGTAATGATAGATCGATTATCAGTCTGAATAATGTTATGGGTGTCCCAAGAAAGTTATTAGTTAGGCGGAAAATATGTCACGTAGGCCTAAGCTAACGCCTTGAGAGGACACGAGGCTGGCTAGTCCTCAGTCACGCGAAAGTGATCGGACCAACAAGACGTCCATGCGCGTCCGTCCACAGAAATAGTCACGTGGCCTAGTCACCTGTGTTGCGCTATTGCAGTATAACAAGGTTCCGTCAGAACCCACTTGACTGCGAGAGTGATGACTGGGAGAGATTGACTGCCGTTTGAGACTGCCGTTAATGATTGAGGATTGGCGATTGTCACCGTTGGACCGATCAGTGTAGGCCTGTCACTGTTTAGCGGGGTAGCAAAGAAGCTCTTGAGTGAACCTAGCCGTCTGGGTGCCCAGCTAACGACGGGACGATCGTCGGGGTCACCAGCTCTCCTCTACCTCGACTCACAATACCACATATCTCAAGCAGCTTAGTGAAACCCTTTTGCTAACGGGAAGCTAAAGCTTCTCTCAACTGTACAAGGTCTGATTGGCTCACTCCCTTCTGCTTCATGGATGTACTGGGGGTAAAGTGAAGCCAGCTGAGTGATACAGGGTCGCACACTGGGGCCAAGAGTCAGTGGAGTTTAGAGGTACACTTTCCAAGGTGGAGAAAGGCTTATTTGGGCCTTAAACTACAGGAGCCTCTTGGTTGTGCCTTAAACGACTACGGAGTGCAGGTGGAATCTGTGCGTGTGTTAGGTTAGGAAGCATGGTTCACGGGTATTGGTGGACTCAGTAACTTCTTAATAATAGTGACAATATTTTTGTGTGTAGTTAATACTATTTTATCAGTTACTAATGTATGCTGTGTGCATTTAATATTTCTTTATAATCTCAATCTCAGGTATAACCTTTGTTCCCCAGAGTAGTGTTTAAGTTAGGTTAGGAGGTGTGTATCTGTTGGGGTAATATAATTTTGTTGAGCGCCCTGAAGGCCTATTCAGGGTGGAGTTAATAAGTTCTGATTTTTATACCATTTTCTCAGTGCTGGATATAATTTTGGTGAGTGCCCTTAAGGCCTATTCATTGTAGAGTTATTAATTTCTTATTTTTTTAATACCATTTCCTCAGTGATTGATATTTTGTTGAAAGCCCTAAAGGCCTGGTTCATGTGTGCAAGCAACATTTCTTAATACTTTAAACTTATTGTCCTCTAATGAGGCATTGCCTGAGTTTCTAATAATTTCAACATCATGTATAACTATTATTCCCCAGAGTAGTATTTTAAGTTCAGGTTAAGAAGTGCGCATATTGGTGTACCATTATTTGATTGTGTTTGTAGTGTTGGAGGGAATGCAAGTGTAAATTTTACAGTGTGTCTCATTCATCCCAGTCACAGACGCTATCCTTCCACGGGTCACGGACAATTCATTTTGTTTAGTAAATTTAAGTGTTCTTGTGCTGGTTCGGGATTTTTCTCAAAGGGGCGCTTCCACTGCAATTACCATCTAATAATCTTTAATAAACCCCAAGTCAAGTGAGAAATTAAAGTCCAGTAATTCCGACCGGTCACATATATATATATATATATATATATATATATATATATATATATATATATATATATATATATATATATATATATATATATATATATATATATATTAATGCTATGCAAATATGCAAAATTAATTGTTACGGCTGTTTCAAGGTTACATAGCGCCAAAGTGTGTGCCTGGCAGGGGGGGATGTCTTCGGGAACGTCCTCATTTTGAATGTTCATATATATATATATATATATATATATATATATATATATATATATATATATATATATATATATATATATATATATATATATATATATATATATATATTGTTACGACATGACAAGGCAAAACAGAATGGAAACTTAATTTAAATACCTATTAAACATCCTAAATATTATACCTAACAATAATAACGAGAATAGCTTATCTGTTGAGTTAAATACAGGTCAGCCACATAAGTAAAGAAAAAGAGCCAGACAACATCAAGAGAATTGGTGAAGCAGCTCCGACGCACTGCAGTCAGTGTCAAGAGTAAAACTGACTATCAGCCGGCTTTTCCCAACCCGACAGGTGGATGCTGGAATTTAAGGTCCTCTGGTGTTCATCACCGGAACAGCATTCACTAGTCTGATGACTGTTATGCGTAAACTAGCTAATTTGAATCAATCAACTAAATAAATGTACTTTACACGTCATATTACAACAATATAGTCCAAATAATATAATTAGAATATAATATATACAACATACCTGGATTTATACGACATCCAATGAAATCACCAATAACTTGATTTACTGGCACTCTTCGTAATCCCGAGTCATCTCGACTAAGGATTCATGGCAATATATATATATATATATATATATATATATATATATATATATATATATATATATATATATATATATATATATATATATATATATATATATATATATATATATATATATATATATATATATATATATATATATATGTGTGTGTGTGTGTGTGTGTGTGTGTGTGTTTGTGTGTGTAAAGTGTGTGTGAGTGTTATATTTTACACGCTGGTATCAAAGTTCAATAAAGTGGGGGAGAGGAATTAAGAGACAGAAGACACAATACTCCTCAACTACTAAATTATTACAAGTCAAGGAAGATGATGTTTCGTGGATGGTGCAAGTTGGTGATGGAAAACTCATTCCTCTACTCCTATTTCAAGTTAGGTTTATGCTCGAAAATCACTGCTGACGTTGCCCTCCTAAAGAAACCGGTGCACGTGAAATCATACGCTACTCACTCTCCTCCTCAGACAGATCCTCGCCCAGACACTGGAGGACGGCGCGTAGGTCACTGGCACAGATGTACCCTCGGCCATGTTTGTCAAAGATCTGTGGAGGATTGACAAATTCTTATATCTCACACAACAGTATTTAAAAAGTTGCCAATATTTTGTGTTTTGTCTGATGCTATTGTTGTGAATCCTATATGCACTGAATAGGTAACTAGTGTACAAATTGTTTTAGCGTGTTTTGCAAATGGTCATACCAGTTCATACAAGTAATTTGATTTGCTGAAATATGATAATCAAGTGTATGGATCACAAACATGGTCAGTCACTCTGATATAAAAGTTCTATAAAGTGGGGAATCAAGAGACGGAAGATACAATACTCCACAAATACTACAGTACACTACTCAAAGTCAAGGAAGATGAAGATGTTGCATAGTGACCAACGAAGACGCTCCATGGACAGTATAATACTGAGGGGGAATTATGTTCTAACTGGGGGAGTGAAAGATTTCCAGGGGACAATTTAAGTTGGCAAGAGACTTGGGAGATAAAGACAATCTACAACAATCAGTAAGGAATTCAAAAGAAAAATGTTTCACCGGTAAAACTAGACTAACAAATAAAGACTCTTGGGAGAGAGTACACGTTCGTGATATTCCAGGTAACACTGAAAAGTGTGTGAGTGCGAGAGAAAAGAGACTTAGTGATGAACAGACTTCACGATGAGGTACTGGATACTCACCTTGAAGGCATCCCTCAGTTCTTTCTCCTCGTCCTCCCCAGGTCGTTCTCCTCCACCGCTCATATTACACACGATCTCCACGAATTCGTTGAAGCTGAACGTGCCATCGCCTGCCACAAGGATTTACTTGTTACGAGAAAGTTAACATGAACTTAAAATATGATGAAACAAATAATTGTTCACCCGTGGAGACGTGGAATCATTGTTTTAGTCAATCGGTGCTGGGAGAGGTTTTGTCATAATCATAATGATTAGTCAGCAACAACATGCTGACGTAACAAGCTTTATTAAATTACACAAGTTTATTATGAGTCAGTAACAACATACACCGTCGTGGAGAACTAAATTATACGTGTATTATAATAGTAATAAGAACATTATAAATCATTGGCAATAACACAGTGATTATAACCATAAATGAACTCCCTAACGATCACACCACGAATAAATATACACCTTGATAATACTTTAGGAAATAAACATTTAACATGCCTTTCTAGACTTTCCTTGGTCCAATCGACTTACCGTTTACTAGTGTTGCGTGTCTGCATTACCTATATTTACCTTATAAATCAAATGACCACCCACTAGGTCCACTAGGATAACTGAAGGAGGGAGGCCAACTGCCTATGTTGGGTCCCGCTATTGTTCTTGATAATTTTGTCAAGGACTATTTTGAAGCACAGTACTGTTCTTGATTCCACAGCTTGATCTGGTAGACCGTTCCATCGGTCTACTGTCCTGTGTGTGTAAGAAATAATTCCTTACGTGGTGGTGCGTGACATCACAGAGAATTGGCCCGGGTTCGTGTTTTCCTTATGTATTCAGAATCAATTTATATGACGATATTATTAAATAATTGTTCTCTATCCACTTATTTATCAATGATTATTCTAAAATGAACGTATATCAAATGAATGAGCAAATATTATATTATATTATATTATGAGAATAAACACATATAATAATACTGTATCATAAATAAATGCGTAATACTTCGATTAATTTTCTACACTGCAAAGTGAGCTACTAAAACCAGTTATCATAAATTAGGAATAATTATTGTCTGCGCTTTCAAGTACTTTATGATGCCCTACTTCATATACATACTTTATTTGGTAATGATTTACGGGAATATGACTCCGGCACAAAAGGTTAACTAATATGGCCAAATATCCGACTTTTCTTATTCTGTAGATTTGTTGTATTTCCTTCGTATCTCGAGCCCTTCTTGAGTTCTTCATTTATTTTCTTCTCTGCAAAACTCTCCTTTAGCATTCCTCTTGTGTCTGCTGCAAGTGATTATGTTTATAACCCCTCATTAATGCCTCCTTTAAACAAGTTCGAAGATTGTTTAATGTTAATTATGTTTTCCTCCTCTTGCTTTAATTTTTGTTTCACAATTACCATCATAACTTATGTAGCCTCCTAAATATTTTAGAGCATCAACCCATTTGAGTTCCATGTTGAATACCGGAGATAGAAGTTTTATTCCTCTCCCTCCCCTTCCTTCCTCTCTTTTTAATAAGGAAATAACATTTACTTTATAGTGTTTACTTTTAGCTTATATTATTCATCTTTTTCCACTAATCTGTTCATGAGTTCTTACACTACCCCGTCACTATGTGCGATGACAGCAGTATTATATGAAAACTAAATATTTTATATAATTTTACCAATAACTTTTATCCCTTTATCGTTGCCTCCAATTACTATCATTAAAATATATGATCCGACATTACATATGTTGGAGATAGTACGTTGCCTTGCCTAACAACCTGCCTAGTTGATGTTTTTTTAATCTATCATATGTTTATAGTTGTTGGGCTAATGGATTACTAACCTTGTTTCGCGCTGAAAGACCTTCTTTGTTGAAGCGCAGTAATAACGTTATAACAACAATGCCTAACACTAAACTAATTTGTTAGTTCACAATTTACTAACAATATAACTTCCTGATGCTAAAAAAATATTGTTATAATCATAGTAACTCCAAAATTTGTTTTTCATTTTCAACTATAAAATATGTTTTCCAAATTCATAAAACAGATATACTGCAACCTTCTTTCTTACTCTAAAGCCCTTTCACTTCAGAGTAAAATACATTCCCTAGTTCCTCATCCTTTTCTAAATCCATTTTCATCTTCTGGTAATACATTGTCTATTTTCGTCTTTATTATGTATAAAATAATATATAATAACACTTTGCATGCATAACTTTATCTTAAATTGGGTGCGAATGTTGATTTTTTTTTAATCCTTAGGAAGGTCTTACTAGGTCTTACTAGTTACACATTTTAATCAAACAATTGGCCACATTCCTTTTAATGTCTTTTAGAAACTGCCGGAAGCTGATCAACACTATAATATCCGTCAATTTGCTCGCAGCTGCTTCAACTTCTGTTTCATAACTTGGTAGTTTAATCCTTATTTCCTTTATTTTTCTTATATTCTATCGTTATCACTATCTAGTTATCACACACACACTCTGTTCACCTTTACTTCATTTCTTCTCCATCAAATAAATCTTATTATCTTTATTTTTTGTGGTCCCACCTATCTACCTGTATTTATCATAATTGGTTTAATAAGGGACATTTTTAGCGACCTTTCCTCTCAATGTTTTACCTACTCTTGAGGTGATGTACTGTACATCAAGTGAATAGAGACATTTGTACCTTTGGTTTGATTCCACTCAATAGTTAATCTAGGGTCTGTCTAAAATTTTAATAACTGTCACTTTGCTTCGATTTATTCGGGTTTGCATAAACTACTGATGCCATAATGCAGGAGAAATATTTATATTTTATGCAAGCAGAAAATTGTTTATTATGAAACGGTCCAGTGAACAATAGAGAAATCAGAAAAAAATCAAGAAAAATTAAATCTAAAAAAAACGGAGAATGTTTTAACGTTGAACTTCAGCTCCTGCCATAGTGATGTTCGAAAACGTTCTGTACCCCTCTGTAAACACAAGTAGTCTTCATAAAGAATAAAGTGCAGATACATCTTCTCAGCTCCGTACACATTCTATGTAACATGGTTATAACATGTAAAGTTGGATAATAAGAGGGAGGACTTGTTTAAGTGTGACCGGGCGGTGTTCTTGTACCAACCTTTTCAACACTGGGTCACAGTTCTCAGCAGCTCTAAATCCTTTGGTCACATATAAATTTGTCATCATAAAAAGGAAACATTTAATAGGAAAATCATACTTCTGTATAAGTGTACACTACAAGTATATTACAATAAGTTGCATTTATCCAGAAAAATTGATCGTTACATTTACACTTACAGTACAAAGTACAAAATAATAAACACTTACACATACAATTCACTTGTGCAGCCACGCCTCATCACAAACTACATCGTGGGGCGATATTTCTTGTCGCTGCCACTCTCATGCACGCAGACAACATCGTCTCTCCTAGCCTCTGCCTTTTTTTGCTCTTGATGGTGAGCAGATCTGAGAATCCTCTCTCAGATGAGTAAGTGCTGTGGAATGCCACCAGAACTTGGAGTGCTTTACTAGCGATCACCTCATCTGCTTCTATCTGGCTCACTGCTCCCCAAAAGTCGGTGCGGTTGCGGCTGTTGAAAAGTCTTAATTTCTGAGTCACAGTGGAGTTCGATCAGTGTGTCTTTTTCATGAGTGCGCAGATTGATGTCGTTCAAGTTTGAGATAAGGAACGGGTTTCTTATCCAACTATTCTTTTTCTTTTCTTCCTCATTTGCAGGTAGGAAATAGTGGTTAAAATTCGGCTGGAGAGCGGCGAGATGTTGGGACACAACTATCATCATTTTGTCGTCATTGACTTCATCCTTGGACTAAACAATCACTTACCCAAGCTCATCGAAGTCTGAAAAGTACCTTCTCTCAATTCTTTTCTTCCACCCTGAAATCAAGGATGGTCAGCCCTAGGGCCACCTAGGCGTGAATTTGTTTAAGATGTAGAAGCTGTCGCCAACGCAACAACCACACCCTAAGTTAACGAGTTTCATGACCCAGTGTCAAGGAATAGTCCGAGAAGACCGGACAACTCGCCAAATGCACTGGCTAACCATTATCCCGGGAAACGATCCGCAATTCGATTAACATCCAGGTTCCCAATTACTGCTGGGTAGACAGAGGCAAATGGCGTAAAGAAACTTGCCCATAGTTTCACCCTGCCCGGGGACCGAACCCGGGTCCACTCGCTTGCGAGGCAAGCATGTTGACCATTACACACACACACACATACACACATGTACGCACGCATACACAGGCACACACACACACGCAAGTATACATACAAGCACGAACGCACGCATGCACGCACGCACGCACACACACACACACACACACACAAACGCGCACATGCACGTGCACACATGCACACACGCACACGAACGCGAATGCACATGCAGAACACCCCCCCCCCATACACACACACACTGATTAAATTTTTATATGTGCTTGATGTCTTAGGTTTAAACATATTTATATTTAGTTGTAAAGAAAGATCATAATAAACTAATAGTTAAGGACTCAAACTTAAGCTGTGGGGATTCTACAGTGCTTGTGTTCGCACTTTCCCCACACTTTGATTATACCGATAGTCCTCTTTAATCAAGAGCTACTAAATTACTTACAGTATTAATGAGTCATAGTAACAAAATTAAAGTTAATAGATTTTCAAAATTCATATTGTGTACATAATATATATTTGGAATAACAAAAATATGCGATTAAGTTTAAAGAAAGTCATTCAGTGGGTGATGGAGAAGGGGGAAGGTGGAGATATGGAGATCCTTTATTTTTCCTACCCACATTTCTTAAAATATTGACCACACTTCTTGCTCTTTCCCTACCAATACAAATTCCTCCTGCGCTTTATTTCCTGCTACATACCCTCCTTGCCCTACAAGTATAACCCTTCCTCATCCTTCAGCCTAACATTATATTACTCCGCCTGGAGGTATCGACCCCTGAGGCTCCTCTTAATAGTAATCTCTATTCCTAGTAGCACAAGACACACGTCCTCCTCCTCCTCCGATAGGTTTTCATGTTAGAATTGTTACCCTTCCTCCTGCTCTGTCAGCAATAACTCCTCTCCCCAATTTTTTCAAT